TTTTGATCCATTTTTCAATTTATTTCGTAGTTAGGAAAATTAAAAAAAAATCTAGAATAAATGAATTTTTAGCTTTTATTATCAAAAAACTTTCATCTGTTACAAATCCTATTTTTTTAGGTAGATGTCTTTAAATATCTATTTATTGTAGTCGGTCTCATATCGTTATTTGCAAAATTATGATGAAAAATACATTTTAGGACATTATTGCCTTTTAATAACGTGTTTTTTTTTAATATTCAAACGAGAAATCTACCTATCCATGTCGGGTATGGCCAAATGGCGCTTTTTTTGCTTAGCTGAGGAAAATGTTTTTATTAGTTTAAGAATCATTGCATTTCAGTCATTATAGTCATGTATTAAACCATTTGACAAAACTGTTTTAATTATAAAACTTAGAGTATCGGAGAATTGTTCATTTCAACGCCCACCATTCATTAAGCATTCAATAAAAAAAACAATTGTTTTTCAATTTTTTCTTTGATATAAAAAAAATTGATTTTCTCGATGTTAAACATGTTCAACTTTTGGTTCTATACTTTTTTCTTGTTTTTTGAGGATTCCCGTAAATTTTTGGACCGGTGTTATGAAAAATACGACAAAAGAAAAAAATTTTTTTTTTTTTAATTGAAAAGAAAAAATAGAAATCGGAAAAACACCTTTCTGGAAATTTCATGATATCTGTAAAAAATGTCAAAGTTTAGAATGAGAAAAAGAAAAAAGAAACTAAAAATGGTATTCATCAAAAAATTCGGAGTTTTTTCTAAAAATTTTAAAAATAACGATGAAGATAGCTTTAAAGAATTTTTTTATATTTTTTTCCAAAAAGAGCATTTAATAACAAAAATTTTGAAAAAAAAAAACGTCCCGATAAGCCAATTTTTGAAAAAGTTATGGCAATTTAAAAATAAAAAAGCGGTTTTTTTGAAAAATTCGGAACTTTTTTTTGGTTGGGTAAAAAAATTTGAAAAAATTATGAGAGACGTTTTTGATAGGGTAGAAAAGGATGGTAAACTTTCAGCCAAATCAAAAGGGGTCAGGGTCAAAAGTGGTCGATTTGGCGTGGAATGCCCCATATCTATTTGTGCAATTGAAATCGTAAATTTCCATGAATCTCAAAAAATCTTCAAACAATAATAGATGGTACCACAGATACCATTTTGAATGATATCTTAGAATCAAGAGCAACTCAAAAATTGCCTGGGGTCATCTAGATCCATAATGACCACTACGGATTAAGTAAATTTTACTACTTCACTGAAGATCATCAATTTCTTAAGATTGATTTTCTTGGATCAAGATTTTTTCTCTTCAGTCAAATTAACGTTTTTATCAGTGAAATGATTTCATGGTGTGTAATGAAAGTAATAAATTAATTGGGTGTATTTTTCAGCATTTACCGTTGATACAATGTAGTACAATAGTGCGCTGTCGTGCGTGTCGCACTTATATAAATCCTTATGTATATTTCATTGACCCAAAACGGTGGAAATGTAATTTATGTTACCGCGCAAATGACCGTGAGTATTTTGATTTTTTTTTTTTTTTCAATAAATAAATTAATTAAATAGATTTAAACGTTAATAATCTATTTGATTAAAGTTCCCGAAGAATTCCAATTTGATCCAGTATCAAAATCATTTGGCGATCCGACAAGAAGACCAGAAGTTAAAACGAGCACAATTGAGTTTATTGCGCCAAGTGAATATATGGTAATTTTTGTTTATCAATTACATAAAATAATGATTAATTATTTTTAATTATCATATTTTATTTTATTTATTTAATCGAGCTGAAAGAACTTTTATACTTTAATCTTTAAAAACAATTTTATTACCATAATAAAGAATATTTTTAAATAATCTCTGCATTATGCAAATAGTGCAACAGTGAGGAAATATTGTTTTCAAATGTTTGAATTATTAATTAATGATAATTGAATTATAATTACAATTTTGCGTTTGCAGTGTGTTAAACATGAACAAAGCTTATGCTTTGAATAAAGCATATTTATTTATGCATGAATATGTAAAAATTATTTTTAAAGACTTGAAAGTTCTCAAGCTGACAATTATAACTCGATGAAATTATTTACTAACATATTTTTATTGTTAAAAATATTTTTTTCGAGTTAATAATTATTGAACTAATAAATTATAAATATTTTCATTAAAAATAAACTTAGTGATAAATTTTGTTTGTATTTAATTTAATACAATTGATAAGAAAGTAAATTAAATTTTTTTATAATTTAATCAGTACCTCTGTTGGGAATTTTTTTAAATAATTAAAAAATACTGTATTAATTACAATCAAATTTTTCATTAGAGTACTTGAATAATTTTTGTAAAATAATTTTCAGCTCCGTCCACCTCAACCAGCTGTTTACCTCTTCATATTGGACGTTTCACGGCTGGCCGTTGAAAGTGGATACTTGGCAATCGTTTGCAATACGATAAGCGAAGAATTATCAAAATTACCGGGTGACAGTCGTATGCAAGTTGGATTTCTGGCTATTGATTCAGCTGTACATTTCTTCAGCATGCCTGACAATGTATCTCAGCCGCATGAATTGATAATGCTTGACGTTGATGGTAATTAATGATCAATTTTATATTTCTTTAATGAATTAATGGCAATTATTTACTTTGCATTACAGATGTTTTCTTACCGTGTCCAGACAATTTAATTGTTAATTTAAAAGAACGGGAAGAATTAGTGCGTGATTTATTAACTCAATTGCCCACTAAATTTACTGGAACACTTGATAATAATAATGCCTTAGGTGCTGGATTACAAGTTGCTTATAAATTGATGGTAAGTTTTTTTTTTTTAACTAAATCGAAGGACTGTTAATTTTAAGGAGAAATTTTAGTCTAAAATTTTGAAAAAATTAATTTTTTTTGTGCATGAATAATCGCCAAAATTTGTGCTTTTATACCAGAATAGCTCTTAAAATTAAGATTACTTATTAACACTTGCAACCTGCAGTAATAATATGACTGTTAAGAATTACGAATCATAAATAAGAAAACTTTTGCTTTATAATTTTTTCACATTTTTAATGACAATATATATTGTTTAAGAACTTTTGAAAGAAATTTTAAAAATAATATTCCTATCACAGGATCATTCATCAATATTTAAATGCAATATGTTATGTGTCGGATAAAAATTTATAGAACTGACAAACTAAATATTCAGAGCTCCTCCGAAATCTTGTAATAAAAAATTGACCATCACGAAAAAATATATAAAATCATGAAAAGGCACAAATTCAAGTCAATACGGATCTGAAGAGATCAAATTTAATTATAAAAATTCCGTTTGAAAAAAGAAAAATAAAAATGTTTTTGTCATAAAATTTTGCTTATTCTCTTAATTATGTGAATTAATATTTTACATATAGGTCATTCCAAACGAAATCACCAGAATTGAAAAATCACATTTTTTTATTTAGTTGAATTTTTGACATCATTTTGTATGTGTCAAAAGACGATTTTATAAATGATCAAAAAAGCGGATTTGTAGAAAAAAAATTTTTATAAAGTCGGTTAAAAAATCGAAAATATTCGAATTCCATCTTGAATAATAGCTTAAAAAAATTGTCTTGTAGTCTAGTATAACATATATTTTTTGAAAAAATATCAAAGATATCGCTCTTAAAAGGCACACTTAGTGCGACAGCCTAAAAAAAGGTGATTTTTGGGAGTTAAAAAAAAACTACTGCATCAATTGTTTTAACATTTTAAGGCTATATTTATACATATTTTAAGAATACACAGTAAAATTTTTGAAGAAAAAAATTAAATATTTTTCGAGTTACAAATCAGATTAAAAAACTGGTCAGTCATTGTTAGAAAACTATGTACAGAACATGCAGAAAAAAATTTGATAGTGATCGGATCATTTGTCCGAGTAATCACTGCACTAAATTCGAAAAATGCTGTTTCGAAAAAACGCGTTTAAAGATAAAATGATCCTATTCTAACTGCCGAGCGGCTATTCTTTAAATGGCTGTAACTCAAAAACTATTTGAGTTATCGATTTAAAATTCTAGTATGTTATTTTTAAAGGTATATCCTATCGAAATATGGAAAAAAAAAATCTGAAAATTTGAATTTAAAATTGGAAAATAAATAATTGAAAAAATAAAAATTCATATTTTATTATCTTTTGGAAATTAAGGGCTAAAAATTTACAGGTAGAAATGCCTAAGTGCATTTTACTACAAACAAAAATATTTTAAAAAATTCAGTTAAATAAAAAAAATGTGATTTTTCAAATCCAGTGATTTCGTACGGAATGATCCATTTAATGAAATTGTCATATTCCAATCAAAATAAATAAATTTTATCTAGTGAGAAATTCGAACCTATTTATGATTACTCCAAAAAAATATCATAATAAATGAATTTTTGGTAAAAATGATATAAAATCTTGAAAAAACACAAATTCAAACTGACCCAAATATACTAAATTTAACCAAAAAAAATTTTTATCATAAAAATACACTGAAGATAAATTTTTTTACTTATTCTATTAATTACATAGATAAGTAAATAATTGGTAATATAAATTTTTAGTCTGCTAGTGGTGGACGCGTAAGTGTATTCCAAACATGCTTACCAAATGTTGGACCAGGTTCATTACAAGCACGAGAAGATCCAAACGCACGTGCAAACAAGGATGTACCTTACTTGAATCCAGCGACTGATTTCTACAAACGTCTTGCGCTAGATTGCAGCGCTCAGCAGATAGCTGTCGATTTGTTTTTACTCAATGGTCAATACTGTGATTTAGCTACTATATGTAAGTCTGCAATTGCATTAAATCTTCACTGTATAGGATAAAGTCAGATCTTAACTTTGTTGATGAAAAAGCAAAGAGTAATCTAAAGAGTAATTTAACTTTCAGCTGGCATATGTAAGTTTTCTGGTGGTTGCATATACCATTTGCCACTATTCCGTAACAATAAACCGCAGTGCAAAGAAACTCTCGAACGTATGTTGCGTCGTTATTTAACTCGAAAAATAGGATTTGAAGCTGTCATGAGAATACGCTGCACACGTGGATTAAGTATTCATACTTTCCATGGTAATTTCTTCGTTAGATCAACAGATTTATTGAGTTTGCCAAACGTTAATCCAGACGCAGGCTTCGGTATGCAAGTCGCTATCGAAGAAAATTTATGTGATGTACAGACTGTATGTTTCCAAGCTGCTTTACTTTATACATCCAGCAAAGGTATTTTTTCTTTTATTTATCATAACTTTTGTTATTTTGTTAATGCTTATAAATTTTTACTTACTCATTTTTTAGGTGAAAGACGCATCAGAGTGCATACACTGTGTTTGCCAGTTTCAGCAGATCTGACAGATATTTTGTACTCTGCTGATCAGCAATGTATTGTTGGATTGGTGTCAAAAATGGGTAAGACTTAATAAATTTATTTCATTACTAGCTGTTACTTGCCCGTTCCGTTGGGCACTCTATAGAATTGCATTTTTAAATCTAGACTTGAAATTTTATTAGAGTATTGTTTTGACTTACACAGATTATCAATTCTATCGAATTGGCATGCACTTTTTGTCCATGTAATTATTCTAGCTAATATTCATTGTAACTTTCAATGTGCAATCATTACAACATCCCCGTGTCTTTCTTACAAAAATGAATAATAATTAATATGAAAAAAAAAAAAAATATGTAATCAGCATTGAAAGTTTCAGTAAAAGAAATTGCAGGTTTCATAAGTGAAGAAATCTGCCTAGTATATAAACATAACCAATAGAATTAAAAAATTTATTTTAAACAAATGACAATCGAATAGAGTAAATTTAGTTACAATAAAAATTCATTATTTCTAAGTCAAAAAAATATAGGTTCCGGATAAGTAATTACCACCATATAAAATACTAAAACATTCTCCGAAACACGCTGCGTCTTATGGTATAAGTATTATTTCGATCGGTTCAGTAGTTTTCGCAGTATAACCGGACAAAAAAACCGGCTCTCCATTTATTAGTATAGATTTCATTATTATAATTGAATTATAATTCAAAGTTTTGCATTTGAACATTTGGTTGATGGTAAAAATAACTACCTGAGAAAAAATGGTTATAGATTTCTATAATTATATCTTAATATACTAGTATATTTAATTATATATAAATTCACATAATTTTATCTAAATTTCTGATGTGATGATACTCATACCCAAAATTTATGTTGTATATAATTATATCAATTTTATCTAATCATACATGAATAGATCTTCGAGAAATTGTTTAAAGAGGTTCATCGGCAAGAAAAAAAACACCAATATGTTATGGCTATTGGTTTCTTTCTCACGCACTAGTGCTGCCTCTCTTTACAGACAATCGCTCACTTACTTCTACTCACGTAAAATATCGAAAGTCACTAACTTCAAACATTTTTTATAAAAAAATGAATACCGCTCGTTTTTGTTATTTTTGAAAAAAAAAATACTTGTTATATCTTCAATTAATGATCCTCAGTTTTTCAAAACAATCCTTAGAAAAGTACGATTGATATTTGATAAAACGTTCGCTCGAACGTCGGTCAGTATAGGGTTTGTATGTAAAATATACAAATTTTAAATGCTAATATTTCAAAATTTAGTGCCGCAAGGACTAAAAAAAATTCCTGCGTATAGAGGATGCTTATGAGTATAAGTACTCAAAATTTCAAAAAAAATTTGAGAAAACGGTTTTTTCACGGAGCGTCCTTAATCAAGTAATATATTAGTAGATATAATTATATACAAGCTTGTACAATTATGTCTGAATTTCTAATTTAATCGTAGTTATATCCAGATATATATTGTTGTATACAATCATATATGATTAGATATCCAAAAATAAATGGTTTGATCCAATTATATATTGGTAGATGTAATTATGTATAAATTTATATTCCTATATTTGATGATATATGATCAGAAATGACTTTTTAAATCAAAACGGATTGTTGGATATGATTATATCTGTTTGTATATAAATATTTATCAAATAAAAAAATGTGAGATCTGATCATATATTACTAGATATAATTACTATATATCCTACTTTTGAATAAATTTATTTTAATCTTACTATTTTTCAATTTTTCCATTTTAATTTTAATTAATATTCGGAATTTAAATTCCTGTTTTTACCGTTGAATTTTTTTTTATTTGTAATATTTTACGATTAGCTGAATTTAATTTTTTCAATATTTTAAATTCTTATATTTTAGGGGCGGCATTTTTTTAATTTAGATAATTTTACAAATATCATAATTTACGGTTTTCCAAATTTAGAGTTTAGAAACGGCCAAATTGAGAAACATACCCGATTTAATGCACGCGATTGCATATATGCAATTTAGATATTAGATATTAGATATATATATCTAATCCTTTAATTACATGGATGTCTATTCATATGTAATAAATTACATTCCATTGAAGCCACATGGATTAAAGAACCATATTGTGTAGAAGTGTAGAATTATACACCAAAATATTATAATGAATATTGTTTTTATTTATTTCTAGTAAAAAAAAAAAAATTCTTAAGAGATGCAATTGCACCTGTGTTTACAACCAGGACATTGCAATAACAGTTATACATACATTACTTAAATTCGATTTACATATTTATAATACAGTGCTTTGTAATTTAAATTACCAAAATCAGAGTTATAAACTTAGCTTGTCCTTAATTATAGATTATAATTAAGGCCAACATTTTTGCCGCAATTTAAAAATAGATGGTTCAAATGTTAAAATATTACGGCGAAAATATTAGTCTTATAAAAAAATTTATCAGATAAAAGTTTTTCAAAATTTAATTTCATAAAAAAAATGTTTCTTATGATTTTTTTTAAAAATCAATATTTTCGCTGTAATTTCAAAATTAAGATTCACAATGAAAAGTTTAATTTTTTTGATAATTATAAATCTTTCTTTTGAAATTACTGTGAAATTATTGATTCTAAGGTAAGAATATAAGGGACGTTTTTTTTTTATAAAATAAAATTGTGAACAACTTTTGTTTGAAAAAATTTTTATAGGACCAATACTTTTGATATAATATCAAACATTTGAAACATTAATAATGATCTGTTATTTTGAATTTGCGACAAAAATCTTGGTGCTAATTATAATTTACGTGCCTAGAGGTAAAAAGGCGTATAGCTAAGGGTTAATAGGGATTTGTGCCGAAAGGGCGTATAAAAAAATTTTTTTTTGCCATTCGGTTTCAAACTGTCTGAAACGCAAAAATATGTGAAAAAAAAAAACTTGGTATCCTAAAGTTGAAAGAGCATATCTCAAGACATACGCCCTTTCAGCTTTAAGAAAAGTACTACTTAAAGATAAAAGGGCGCATAAAAAAAAATTGTAGTTTTGATACCAAATGTTAAATAATAGTTTCACAAGACAAGTTATACTAAAATAACAACCTCATATACAAAGTTTGATACATACAAATAGAAAATGAATCAATCAAAAACAAATTACGTAAAAATTAAGTAATTAATTTAAAGTAAAAATTACGTAATTAATTAAATCATGCGTACTTTATTGTTTTTTAGATATATTTTCTTTTTTAACTTTAAAAAATTTTATAGTTGAGGTTTTACGTCGCTACTACCACAGAAAGTTTTTTTTCACATTTTTAGACTGCGAATATGTTAGTGTCTTGGATAGCTTAACTGGTAGAGCATTTGGCGCGTAACCAAAAGATCCAGGTTCGAGTCTTGGTTTGGGCTGTCTGAGTTATTTTTTCAGTTACAATAATTGTCAACAATAATTGTCGAAAAAAACTACGAATATGTTCTTTTGTAAACTGGCAAAAAAAAAAAAATTATACACCCCTTCATCTTTAGACTACCAAAATTTCGAATTCTTAAAAGTAAAAAGACGCAAAATTAAAGACATAGGCCCTTTTACCTTTGCAATTTTTTTTTTTTCGATTTTAATTGTAGAATGTGTTTACTACTCGATTGGCAATAAAAAAAAAATATGCGCCCTTTTACCTTTAGGCACGCGAATTATTAGTTCTTATTTAATTACTACTTTTTTTTTATCAGCATCTTAGAACACATGAAAGTTTTCATATTTGTTAAATAATAGATTATAGATTTTTAAAGCTACATAATATGCATTTTCATAGCTAATTGGTCTATTATGTTATAAGATATATTTATATCTATCCAAATATAGTTGGATCTTATAAATATTTAGACCCAATTATACATGATTAAATCTAATGATTTTACTTTGGCATCGGCCATAATAACACAACCCAAAATTTAATTGTTCAATATAAGAAACAAATCAAATTATCACAGCAATTTTTATTGAATTTGATTAATGCATATCTGATAAAATATTAAAAATAAAAAATGATTACAGCCGTTGATAGATCACAGCAGACTTCATTATCCGACGCACGTGATGCATTAATAAATGTTGCCATAGACGCGTTGTCGGCATATAAAGTAGCACAGCCATCAAGTACTGGTGGTTTAATGGCACCACTTAATTTAAAACTATTACCTCTTTACATCGTAGCCTTAATGAAAAGCGTAAGTATCCGAGTTACTTATTAAATATTTAATTCAATTATAATATCAATTTCACATTAATTATTTTTAATTGATCAATAGGTTGCCTTCAGAACCGGCACAAGTACTCGATTAGACGATCGTATGTTTGCAATGTGCCAAATGAAGTCGTTACCACTGTCACAGTTGATGTTGATGGTTTATCCAGACTTATATCCGATTCATAACTTAGATGATCAAAATGGAAAAGAGATTGATGGCAGATTGTGCCCTCAACCCCAGCGCTTACATTTAACCGCTGAGAAACTTGATTTCCGCGGTGCATTTTTATTAGATGCTGGTGATAAAATTTATATTTATATCGGGAAAAATATTGATTCACTCTTTTGTACTAATGTATTGGGTGTATCCTGTTACTCAGCCATTCCTGAAGAAATGGTAATTATTAATTATTATCTTTTTTTTTAGGAGGCTATTTAATTAATTTTTTTTTGTTTGTTTTTTAGTACGATTTACCAGAATTAAACACTGTGGAAAATGAACGGCTAAGGTTATTCTTATTCAGTTTACAAGAAGAAAAACCATATTATGCAACTGTACAAATAATACGGTATTTTTTTTTTTTTAATTATATTATATTAATAATATCAAAAAATTTTATTTATAAATATTCGCTCTAAGTTCAACTTGAAATTTTCTAAGGCTCTAAAAATTGACCAGTTTAGATAAAATGAACATATAAATACATTAATTGTAAATTTATTGGAGGTTTATCAGCTAAAACGAGTGTTGTGATTTTTTATAGTTTTAACGTAAAAACTATAATACTTTTGTTTATTTATAAAACAAATACATTATTATGTATTTTAATACATAATAATGAAAATTTAATTGTAATAATTAACGTTACAGCCGATTGACCCAAATACTGATCATTACTTACTAAATATTGACCGCCTCTGTTCCAAATACTGACTAGTAGTATTAAGCTTACTAGACTTATGAATAATTTTTATTTTTAATCTATAATAGTTTCGAAATTAGGTAATCTATTCACTGACATGTTAATAATTTCAGAATTGTTGTTAGTTGTTCTGTATTCTGATACCATATTATCTGCCGTACTTATACTTATATCAATGGCCGAAGTCATACTAACAACAATAGGTACATTTTGACAAATACTTATTTATTGATTATGAAGTATTTAATTTTATATAAATTGATCTTACATATACTTAGTGAACACGGCGAGGTTGAGTTCTAATGACTAATTTTTACAACTTTTTAACATTTTTACACCAACTTATTTTTTTTTTTTTTTTTTTTTTTTTTTTTTTTTTATTACAACTGCACATACTTTGTGCATGCGTAAACTTTTATTTAAAGTATAATTTAAAATTGATAATTACACACTGATTACAAAATAAAATTACTAGATTTTTTAAATCAAATTGTTATGCTGCCTGGTCAATATTTGGTTCCTTTGTCCTATATTTTTCATAATGAAATTTCATATTTTTAAGTTAAATTTTTGGCTCATAAAATTATATGAGATTAATAAAGAGTTAAGTTATCAAAAGAGTGAATTTTTGAATATTCTTTTAAAAATTTCTTAAGGTAGTTCACTCGGGACACATAGCTTGTACTATTTCTTTCCTTTTCACTCGCTAGTGCTGCCTTCCCACGGGTTATCTATTATTCGCTTTTACTAATGGTTAATATTGTTTGACTAACCAGTTTGTTAACAATTTATAAAAAACTACATGGTCGAAATTTTCAAAATTTCTTTGGATTATTTTAAGTATATTATTCTAACAGGAATCAGTTTTTTGAAAAGATCTTAAAATCCTTTCAATGCAATAACCATTAATATTTGTGATTTTCTGACTCTCTAATCATACTGTCTGTGCTAAAATGTAATTTTTAATTACAATTATCTCATTTCTGGTATGGTCAATTGATTTCAAATTTCAACAGCACATGTCGCGGCTGCCCAATTTTAAAACACAGTAACTGCAAAATTTTTATACCTGATTTTTTTTAGTATTGCTGCATTTTTTATAACTTTTAAACCTTAATTTCAAGTATTTTTTCTTGAAAATATTTATATTTGAGTAGTTTCTATTCATAAATCAAATTTGTCATTAATTTAGCGGGCAAACGTTTTTTTAATAAGAAAAATTGAAAAAAATTTTTAAATTACATTTTAATGCGCATTCTATTACCCATATTTCAAATTTCGAAAACTTCTTAAAATTTTGCATTTATGACCGAACTACCTTAACTTCAATAATTTAATTTTTAATTAAATTATTATAAAAATTTTATTTAATCATCAAAAACAAAATTAATAAATGTTTTATAATTTACAGCGATGACAGCCATTTCAAGAATCTATTCATCGACTATTTAATCGAAGACCGTACAGAAGCAGCATTAAGTTATTATGAATTTTTACAACATCTTAAAACACAGATTAAGTAATTAAAATTAATATAAATATAATAAATAATTTAGTTAATTAACTAAATAAATATGAATAATGAACATCACCAGATGATACGCGTGATAGTTGAATGATTTTTTTGTTTTCGTACCGCGATCAAGGATGACAGAATTGTTTCAAAATATTTTTAACATTATAATTTAAAATTTATTAAAATAAAATCTGTTAGTTAATTAGCTTATAATTGTAACAATAAATAAGCATTTAATGTTATAATTATAAGAAGAAAAAATTAATTAGAACTGGGATTAGTTGACCAAATTATTATTTGTCTAGTGTAATGTAATATGTAATTATTTTTAATTATTTAAAATGTAGAATATCACTATTATAAAAAAACAATATTAAAATAATGCCATAAATGAATGTAAGATGATTATTAAAGAATGTATGCGTTTTAAATTTATTTTATCATTAAACAATTATAATTTTAAATGACAAACATAATTCACATTTGTCGAATTTTTTATTTATTTATTTTAAATTGTTATATACAAATGATGGTGATGTGGAATATATTGTGTAACATAAAGAAATATATATATATAAATATATAATGTTTAATATGTAGAAATTCAAACGAAACGAAAAAAAAAAATTTTTTTTTTTTCAATGATTTTTTTTTAATTTTTTCGGTAAAACCTATGTATATATATATATGAAAACGCAACTATCGATGTATTATTAATTTTTAAAATTGATTAAACAATTCATACTACGGAATCTTTAAATACTAAATCAAGTGCATTGTATTATTAATAAAATCCATAATTGTTAACTTCAGGGTTTTGATTAATTATTATTGATTAATCAAGTATTGTTTAATCTGATAATTAATAAACTTTACATCAATGCATCATTATTAGTTAGTTAATTATTATAAGTAATTTGTTGTATTTGTATAAAAATGAATAAATTAACTAAATAAAAGTTATAAATTTACGATAACATACAAAAAAGTGTTTATTACTAAATTTTTATATGAAAAATATCCTCGAAGAAATTTTGTTTTCTGAAGAGGTCATTCTGGTTCCAGCGCTCGAACAAAAATTAATACTTTTGAATAACAAAAAATGTTATAATTTTTTTATACGAATAATCAACGGGCGAATGGAGCTCCTCCAAAAATTGATGTGTCGCTGACGTACAAGATAACTTGATAACGGCTCTTCTAAATCACAAAAACCAAAATTATTTACTCTCAATATATAAGTAGTTACAGAGATTAATATTTATCAATAAATAACAAAATGGCGGAGATTAAAAAAAAAAACTGAAAAATAAGGCTTTTTTCACAGTTTTTAATCCTAAAAAACTTAGGAAAACAGTTAATCTAGAAGGCCATCCCTGCAACTTCCCGCCAATTCCTTAACTAAACACTTGATATTGCACTTTTGACGTTTTTGAGCTCTTCGAGCTTAAAAATACAATTTGTGTGTTATTTTGAGCTCTCCGAGCTCAAAAATCTGGTAAAAGTTAATAAAACACTATTTCTTAAATTTTCAAACCGCAATAACTTTTAAATGAGTGAATCGATTTTTACGCGGTTGGCGGCATTTGAGGCAGTTTTTTAAGCCTCATGAAGAATCTTTAAGTTTAATTTGATCGAACCAGGAATTTCAGAGTAATTCCAAAAAAACACTTTTTTCGGTTTTCTTTCGTCAACGATAACTCACGAACGAAACAACCGATTTTGGCCGGATCTGCAGCAATCGACGTGGTTTTTTGATTTTAAGAGCTAATTAGTTTTAGGAATCGATTGGTAAAGCTGTTTAAAAGTTATTTAAAAAAAACCACATTTGAAAACATTTTTTTTGCAATTTTTTTGAGATTTCTCAAAATCTACCGGTCCGAATCCGTCCAAATTGTATTCAAAATCTAATTTGAGTCAAGTCCTTTTGAATTGCACCAACCGCAATTAAATCGGTCATGCCGTTTAAAAGTTATGAGAGGTTTACATACATCCATACACACACACACACACACACACACCATCGTAAAAAATCGTCAGGAAAGCTTTCTAGGACCTCAAAACGTCGAGATTTGATGAAAACTCGATTTTTGAAAAACGGGGTAAAACCAATAACTTCCCGATTTTAGAAAATGTTTTGTCGAAAACTATCCAATGCGGATAATTCCCGTAATTGTTTTAAATTATACGATAAAGTTGGGATTAGGAAATTAAATAATAATACTTGGATTTTTTGGGGAACAATTTAGAAGAATTTATTTGTCCCCAAAGGAGGAAAACTCAGCTAGGCTGGGAAAAAACCTCCTTGATGAAAATTATACAAGTAAATTGTGTATGTGTAAGTGTGAATGTGTAAAATTACGTTGCAATAACGCAATAGGGGTGAGCTCAGCCGCCTTAGATAGAAAATTATCGATAATTTGAATTAGATAAGTCCCAAGGTGGGAGCTGGTAATATCTAATTAATTTGAACTGTCTCATAGTGAGAGCTATTAATGTTCAATTGTCTCTAGGTGAGAGCTAATAATATTCAATTGATAACAGAATGTTAGTCAATTGAGTTTGATGTTTATCGTGTAGAAATTAGTCAAATGATTTGAAATTGGAATTTAATTATTTATAAGTTAAATTAAATAATATCGTAATTAAATGTTAATAATTGATTTAATATAATTAATTGTTAATATCACGCGTCAATTATGGATTGACTAAAGCCGCGTGGCTGATGCAATCCTTTGTTAACGGTGGCGCGTAATAGCCGCGTGGCGTCACTAAATAAATTTACTTGATTTTATTTATTTATGTTAATTCACTGAACTATTAAACTGATTTAAATGAATTGAGAATTTAAAGTATAATTGAATCTACTATGATTATTTATATTTAATGAATAATTTAAATATTTGAATGAATGTGAGATGCAAATAAAAATTATCAGAATTGATTAGCATAGAGTAGTCGTACTAGTACAAAGTCCAAGCACAACTGTTGCAGCAGACCACGCGAGCCGGCTGCTCTACCGCTAACCAAGGCGCGCATGCGCGACGGCCATAGCGTGATACGATTATTCCCGAGTTCATACGATTATTCCCGAGTTTTAACGATTAAGCTCGAAGGCGTAATTTCTCTTATAAGTATTTGACTAGATCTCTTTTCTAGCGGTTAAACAGAAAATTTTCAATTTTCTTAGCGAGAAGTTAAAAATAGTAAAAATAAAAATTTCGATTTAGTTCTAGCTGATGCAATAGCTACTACTATTTAGATTATGTGGTTTAAATTTTATAAAGATCGGGTCAGTAGTTCCGGAGATATCATATACGTAAAAACCAGACAAACATAGTTCTGAGATAAATGCGTTTAAAGTATTTTCGATAAAAAAAATCTCAAAAACGGTTGACCCTGCAGGCTATCCCTGAACTTCCCGCTAGGTACAAAACGCTTGAGAAATTATCTATTCTGGTCGTAAGTTTTTCTTGCTCAAAAACACAAATTTTATTCTTGTTCGAGCTTTTCAAGCTCGAAATTCTAGTGATTCTTGAGTACATATTTTTTTGAAAATTTTTAATTGCGATATCTTCCGAACGAATTATTTGTTTTTGATGAGACTTGCAGTATTCGACGCAGTTATTGAAGCTCAAAAAAATTATTCATTACTTACCAAACGATTCGACATGAAATTTTAAAGTTATGTCAAAAAAACACTTTTTTGGAATTTTTTGAAATTAAACATCTCTCAAATGAATCGATCGATTTTTATGCAGTTTATAGCAATCAATGCATTTTTTCAAGCACAAAAAGATTATTCCTCACTCGCTAAACGATCCAAGATGAAATTTTGAAGTTATGTAAGTAAAATGATTTTTTCCAAATTTTTTGACCATTTCTTTTGAACGAATCAACCAATTTCGATGTGGCTTAGGGCAATCGACGTTTTTTTGGAGGTTAAGAGCTGATTAGTTTTTGAAATTGATCGAAACATTAGTTTAAAAGTTATCTCAAAAAACTTTTTTTTGAAAATTTCATTATTGAGATTTCTCAAAATCTATAGAGCCGAATTGATTCAAATTCACGTGATATCTGATGGCAAAGGAACCCTTCCGAAGGCCTCCAATCGCGTTTCAATCGCCGTTCAAAAGTTATAAGGAGCTTAACACACACACACACACACACACACACACACACACACACACACACACACAATCTACATACATACATATATACATACATACATACATACATACATACATATGAAGAGACATCCTCGTAGGAATAGTCAGAATAGCTTCCTAGGACCTGGAACGTGGAGATCTGATGAGAACTCGATTTGCGAAAATTGGGGTATATCCAATAACTTCCCGATTTTTTGAAAATCATTGATTTTCATAGCGGAAAATTAAAAAAACAAAATTTTACCTAAAGTCAATCAGCGAAGCCGGCACCATACAAAATTCCTTCAGCTTTTTAAGAAATTTGATTTTCTTTCACTCAAACATTCACATAAACATCGTAAAATAATATAGTTAGTACAGTGATCCAATCACTTATAAATTTAAACACAATACTTTTAGGTATATGTACTTTCGAAAAATGTAAATTTTTTTTGAAAGTTACAAACCAGAATGACCCCTTAAATCAATAACATTAAATTTATAAATAGTTAAATTGTTAAAAATTTGTAAACATTTCTTAGTTGGAAGAAATAAATTTCTTAAGTTGCTTCTTTTTTTGGCTTTCAAAGATTTCCCGCCAAGAGTCGCAAGACTAGCACTGCAGGTCAAAATTTTGAGAACTTCAGTTGTAAGAAATATCATATAATTTTCTATAATCCGTGAGTTCAACAAAAAAGATTATTATTCTTCATATTTTCGAGTTTAAAAACTAATCTTCAGTTCGAGTATTCTTCTAAGTTTAATTTCATGCAGTTTTTAACTTAGAATGAACAACTAAAGGATCCCTGAATAAAAAAAAAAGTATTGAAACAAAGAAAAAAGTATTGAAAAGAATGGGATTGACTAGAAAACCAATTCTTTTCAATATTTTTTCCTTTGTCTCAATACTTTTTTTTAATCAGGGATACTTTTAAAAATTCTTGTCAAAGAATGAATGAAGAAAGTTTGTCAATTTGTGGATTTCCGTGGTCGTAGTCAAACTCCTTAGACTAAATAATTTATTTCGTTATCCACTTGACCGTTATCTTGAGTCAAACTTCTAAACTTGAAATAGGAAATTAAATGGCCTTCTTCGAAACTTCTGGAGGTCAGTTGCAGAGCAATCGATGATGGACGGTAAGTCAAAAAGTAACTTTGATGCTAACGATACTTGAGTAAATTGTGTAAAAATTACATTGATGAATTTATAACTATTGAAGACAAGATACAAGATATACGTCAGATGGTCAAATTTACAGGTTAGTTTTGATCTACTATAGAATTCAAACTAGTTTCTGTATTATATTAAAAGCCCTTCAACCAGTCGATTCAATCTCATACGGGTCTACCTGTTCGATTCACTCAATTGTCGTTCAATAGTAATTTAAATCAATTGGTGTCTGTACAAGCACGAGTACTTTCATCTCACCTGTCGATAATAACGGACGGGATTTTTGATTCGCGTTAAATAATAGAGCTTATCTCTAACCATTCCAGCGCTCCAATTTTAATAATTTGTTTCAATGCTGGTTTGCGAATTTATGTTCAATTGTTCCGCTTTTGAGTTTTTTACTTTTGGTGGATTTGTAAATTACACTGATTCGGTTACTCGAAAAATTGAATAGATTTTGAACAAGCTATGAATTGAATTTCTCTAAATTGCTCGATAAAAATGGCTAACAAGGTATTAAAAAAAATTTGAAGGTTTCTGGGGTCGGCGAACTTGCGCCCTATGGTCAAATCAACAAGTGCCTTTTTGGTCAACATAATGCTCATTTAGTTATAAAATATTAATAAAATAAACAATGTGAAAAAATAGTACATTGTGTGACTAGGGATGAAACAAAACGATTTCAGACCAGAGTGAAGTTGGCTGCCCGAGCGAAGCGAGGGCTGGCATCACTCGGTCTAAAATCGTGTTTCATCCCGCGTCACACATTATATTTTTCATATAAGTTGCATTAAAAATGCTAGTTTCAATGTCTGGAGCCAACCAGAAATAGATAGTTTCAGACGAATAGCGAAAATACCATTTTATTATAAAACTTATAATAAAATAGAAAGTAATGGTTTATTTTTTATTAAACATTATTCGAAAATTGAATAGTTTTCTTTTGTCATTCTTATTTATGCTTAGTAACAGAATTATAATATGTCAGTACGGTTAACGGTTAGAATGACAATTATAAAGGTATAAAATAAACAGAAGATACTCTGATAGGATTGAAAATAAAGCTGCAACTTCATCTCACGGGCAGTAAATCGTCATTTTCTGCCCGCCGGGAAGAAATGATTGATTCCTGCCTGGCAACACTCGCATTGGTCTGAAATTGTCTAGTTTCGGTTGGCTCAACAGGCATTGAAACTCGCATTTTCAATGCAGGTTATATGAAAAATATATTAATTAATAGCTAAAATAGCACAATAATATGCGAGCGCCTCTAGTGGGATAAATTTACACAATATATATACACAGAAAAAAAAATGTTCTTGAATCAAGCATATATTTTTGAAGAGTTCAATATTCTTGGTTTGAGTAGAAAAATTCTTGATTTAAGAAAACTTTCCTTGTTTTAAGGAAATTTTACTTAACTCAAGAATTTTTGTCTTGATTCAAGATAATTTGAAAATTTTCCTCCTCTTTTCGAATCTCTTTTTAGATTACAAAAATCTCGATTAGTTTTTGTGATAGGGTAAATGCACCAATTATTGACCGATTAAGGTTTTCTTTTTCGAAAAAGATCTGTACTAAGCTATAAAAAATCTATTAACCTACTAAAAACAATTTGTAATGGATTTTATTAAAGTTAAATACTTAATTAATAATAATTAATAACTATTTATAATAAAAATTAACAAAATTATATTAATTTTGTTATTTGAATCTTGAAATACTAATATCACCAATTATTGACCGAAGAATTCCAATAAATGACCGACCGTTCTCCAATTAATTGACCGCTGAAATAATTATAAGTAATTTTGTAAACCACATGTATGTAATTAAATTTATGGAGTACTTTTGAAGAATTAACGACATCTTTAACAAAACTAAACACACAATATAATTTTAAATCGTACTTTTTAATAAAATAATATAAATAGCAATAATTTACATAATAAGTCACATTTCTTTAGGTCAAAAATAATCACAAATTCATTTTGATGACGATAATTCGTCTGATTCACTTGAAATTTTTTTATCCTTCTCCTTGTTTTTTTCAATTAAAGCTTTTTTACACTAGCTTGTAACTCTTTTTTATTTTTTCAATTGCTTAGCAATTTTTTCTTCTAATAATTCGTTCGTTGATATAACCGTTCACTAAAAAAAATTAAAACAAAATAAAATTTAATAATCAAAAAAGATTTTAAGTATTATTTTAATTATAAATATACATTTTATAATGATTATTTTTATATTTACAAAATATTGAATGACTAAAGTACTTTAAACACTAGACAGATTTAATTTTGAGGTTTAGAAGTTAGTATTATAAATAATATACGGTGATTAATTGGATTAAGGCAAAAAAATAAACGTCCTTTTTTTTTTTTTTTTTTTTTTTTAGTTAATTGTTTATAACTTTTGCAATTTTGTCAAACGCAAAAAGGCACTTGTTAACTAGACTATGATTTGATCAAATCAAATCGATAAAAACCCATCGAATCGATCTTCCAATAGTTTTATTAAATTTTAAATAATTAAAAAGGTTCGAACGATTTGGACTATATTAATAAGTTGTATTTTTATACTATCACAGAAGATTTAGGAGACGAAAATAAAAATTTTGGTGCTGTGACTATTAAACCGCGAATAGTTCAACTTCACGGTAGTTCAACCGCAGAATAAATAATTTCTAACATAAGTAAGCACACATCACAAAATCCATGATAAAAGGATACAGCATGATAACCAATCTTGCTATATTTATTTTTAAACTAAACTTCACTAAGAGAAAATTTTTTTTTTGTAAAAAAAGGGGATTGTTATGACGAGAAATTGCTTTGTTGAAAATTTTTAACAATTTTATTTTTTAGCTGAAGAAATAAAATTTTTTTCCTAGTCACTTTCTTGTTGATAAAAAGTCTGCTAGATTTGGGAAAAGACAATCTGAATGAAAATTCACAAATTGGCTTTTCAAAATTATTTTTTTCTAAATTTTTAACTAAAAAGTTCGGTGAGAAAAATTTTGATTTCTTCAGCTAAGAAATAAAATTATTAAAAATTTTCAAAAAATTAATTTCTTATTACAACATTATTCATTTTTTTTTTTCAAAAGAAATTCTGTCAGTATGGATGCAATAAGTTTGAGAAAGCGATGGTTTATTATACAATGGTTGATTTGTCTTGTGGTATAATTGTCGATCGCTTCAAATATCGTCGATTGAACTGTCATTCAGTTGAAATGCCGTGGTTGAATTGTCCGCGGTTCAATTGTTATACAGAACTAATGTTTTATCATTTAAGCAAGAGTCCTAAAAACCCGAAATTTTTTCGAAGTCATTCTATGATAGATACTTGCAATTTTTAGCTTAACAGTTTTTAAGGATGGATGACATTCCATTAATTTCTACAAAAGAACAATACCGTTTCATTATAGTGAAAATAAAATTTTTTTATTCCCACACGGAAAAAAATTTATTGTTGCTGCAACAGGAGGAAGTCATGTTGCAGCAACAGGAAAAAATCTTGTTGCAGCTACAGGAAAATCCTGTTGCTGCAACAGGAGGTAGCCATGTTGCAACAACAGGAAAAAATCCTGTTGTAGCAACAGGATTTTTTCCTGTTGTTGCGATTTGATAGTAAAATATAGTTGGGTCAATCCATGTCGAATCAACCAATAGTTGGAATCGACCCCTTTCGATTTGGATAAATTTTGGTCAGAAATTTTCTTTTATCATACAATGAACTGCTGCCAAAGGAAAAAAATAAAAAAAATTTTTTCAACAGATATGCAAATTCAAAATTTCGCGATTTTTCCAGTTTTTCAATTTTGTTTTTGTTATATCTCGAACGCTATTATAGATACTGGAATGGCCTTTCGTTTGTTTGAAAGGGGACACTTTGGGCTATTGAAAAAAAAAAAATTTGGAAAAAAATTTTAAAAAATG